CGAATTACCTGAATTTACCTGAGCATATACATCCGTATACATATTATTTAATTCCAAAATTTATTTTATTAGTAGACTATCATGAGACCTATAAAGGAAAAAAAAGACTAATAGATGCATGTAGATCGATGGCATAGTAAAAGATAGAGCCAACTCAGATTTGGCTTGAAAAAGGAGTCAACTCAGGTTTGGGTTGAATAAGCAGCCAATTCAGGAGTAATTTTTTTCATCAAGTTTTGTCCTGGTAGTACTAGCATTCACAATATATGTATACCTATATAAGCGAACAAGAATTTTTCAATGATCCAATGTTTCAGAAAAATAATTTAAATCATTAGATCAAACTATAATTATTTAATTGTTCTCTACTAGTCTTATAAAACTTATTTTAACTGCAAATAATATTTTTTTTAGCTTAAGTGTAAATCGTTATTACATTTTCTTTCTCCTATGATTACAGCAGAATAGTAAAGCAAACAATTAAATAAGAATAGCATGCTTGGTTACAATAACATAAATTATTTTTCTGAAACATTGGATTATTGAAAAATCTTTGTTCACTTATATAGGTATACATATATTGTGAATGCTAGTGCTACCAGGACAAAACTTGATGAAAAAAATTACTCCCGAGTTGGCTGCTTCTTCAACCTTAACCCTAAACTGAATTGGCTCTTTTTTCAAGCCAAATCTCAGTTGGCTCCTTTTTCACCAATTATCTGAGTTGGCTCTGTCTTTTATCGAGCCGTCAACATGTATTATACATTGTATATTAGTGGACGTTATTGTCTTGTGTAATATATATGAATAACGTAGTAAATTTATATGCAAGTCATTTCCGTTATTCTCACTTATACTATTTTTAGAACGAAGTTCTTTATGTCGCGTGCTTGGGGGGCTGGAATTTTAAAAACGACGGATTTTCTTAAAACGAAAGTCGCTTACTAGAAGTCTCTTCCTCTTAATTTATTTTACTTCCCCCCTTACCCCATCATCCTTACCATCAGTCACCTACACACTTCGTCTCACCCTGTCTCTTCCGACCGTGCTGCGCTAATCTCCTGCACACATCCTCTCATCACTCGCCGTTTTGCCTTGCCCCGCCATTCCCCTTCACACTACACCAGCAAAGCATATACACCAAGCAACTTATGTTTTATTAAACCATCATTTTTTTTCCCTACAATAATTTTTATTTAACTTTACATTNACAATGTTATTACTTCGCCTTCGAAGGGGGCATGTAGTGCAGTTAAGAAAGTAGGTGATAAGAAAAGTATAAAAATACCACGTATCTCATCTCTGCCTGCTTAAACTCGTGGAGTACTATATCTAATACCCTTATTTATTAGTTTGAGTGTAACCAGTGCTCTAGCTAATGGTGTACCTGGAATATTAAAAAGTATAAATGCCAGTAACGCTGATGAACAGCAGCTGTAAAAAAGCCAAAGACACAACAAAACTATGGTTGCTATTGCACTTAGAAAAGGTCTCAAACTTCGACCATATAAAACTGAATTAGGTGTCTTTTTGAAGCTATATGCTGAACATGTATCTTGATAGTAAGAATGGACCTGGAACTCATTGGGTAGCGTATCAAAAATGTGGTGATAATGTTACATTCTTTAACAACTTTGGCGATCTACAGCCACCTTTAGATCTAATGCTATACTCAGAAGTTAAAAAGGTTAATTAATTTTTGTGGAGAAGTCATAACGATAAGGTTGCATATAAAACCTTTACAATAATAAAAATCGTGTACAATCATAAAAGGTATATAAGCAGCTTGACATGCACTACTGCGCTCAGTTGACAACGAGCATGAAGACAGCTGAAATGTTAAAAGCTAACGCATCAAAACATTCAATTCCTGAGAAGTCTAGGATTAAAAATAAAAGGTTCTGGTGGAAACTAACTTGTATATTCTTATTTTTTTGCATCAAGCATGAAAGAGATTCTAAACATTCAGTCGCCTGTCACTTTTGATGAGTCCAGTGCACACTATGAGATCCATGCTCACCAACCATACGCATCTGCAACTTAAAATAATAGTGACAAAATCAATACATCGATTTAACATCAAGACCTGTGTCTGTTACTGTCACGCAGTTCTATCACATTCATGAAAGGTTAGTTAAATTATGTGGTAATACGGCAACAGCCAGTACTCAATTGGTGAACAACGCCATGTGCCATCTATTCGAAGAGATCGGATATAAGATAAATGCTATAGATGGATAAATATAAGAATGTGGGTCCGACGATCCTCATAAGAAGTTGTCTCACATTTAGTCCAGACCAGGATCTAATGACTGAAAACGCAGGTTGGTTTAGAATTTCAGATGAAACAACTCTCACTAATATTAACGGCTACTTTGATGTATAGATTCCTCTGAATACGATATTTGGTTCCACTGAAGACTATCGCAAGATTGTTGTTAACGTGAAACATCAACTCATACTCACAAGATTAAGAACTTATTTAAATGCAGTCATGCAAATAGTTGTATACTATTTAAAATACTACAGATAGTAGCTAATGGCAACGGTAACGCAGTATGAGTCTGAGAAGTATTCAAGATAGAAATATTGAAACTCGAATGGCATACACCCTATGTAGTAATGTCGGATTCTTATAAAATTCAACTGCTTCAATATTTGCAGAAAGATAAGCTCATATCCATGAGTTTCCCAACTTGAGAGCTCTATGAAGAGCCACTCTTGCCCACAACATCAAAACATATTTTGACAGTCAAAATCCACAATCAGTTGGAAAACCCATGTTATGTAATTTTAGCTTTCCCAACGAACCATAAAAATCAAAGATGAGTTATTGCTAGTATGTTTAATCATTGTAACATAAAGAACGTAAAACTCAATTTACATTCACAATATTATCCCTACGGAGATCTCAGTCTCCACATAGCAAAAAATTTTCAGAATTCCTGTTATGGTAAAGATCATGCCCCGCTGTTAAGCAAAGTCCAATTCCTATACCATGTAAGGTAAATTCAGGTAATTCGGGACACTTTTCAGTAGCAAAATTTTCATCTCCACTTTTTTTAATGTCCCTTATTTTTTAGAATTTTTTAAAAAGATTTTCCCTGTAGTCGGACGTTATTTTAAGTAAAAAAAAAAAAAAAAATTAAAAGAAACAAACCAAGGGATATAAATGGGTCATGGGACCCATGGTAAGAACGAAGTTCTTCAAACATGAGATGAGTCCCAAAAATAATTAAACATCAGATGTATGTCTAAAACCATTACAAAATAAAGAGACACAATTTCTCAGGTAACAAGGGGGTTGCAAAACCCATAGAAAGAACGAAGCTCTATGAAAATAAGTACTGCATTCATGTAGTTCAGTAAAACAAAAACTTGAAAAACGCATGAAAAAAAAAAAAAATTAGTTTAGTACTCACGTTGATTTAAACTTCGTGAGTACTGTATTTATGGACGATCTACTTACGTTGTATCAGTTACAAGCACGCTTACCACTGAGCCAACGCCGCTCCTCGAGTATAATGAAACTATAATAGTTTTTTCTTTTAAAGGTTAAAAGATTAGAAACATGTATACAAAGCTTATGTTCATTTATGAATTTAAGTATCGCTGGCGAATGTCTTTGCGCTGTTGCTGCAAGTTTTCCTTCAATTTAACTCGCGGATTTTGCTGTGCGAGAGGTAGGGGGTCACACTCCCGCAAGGAGTGCGTATTTAATACACTTGTGCGAGTGTGTCTGCTCCCCCTTTCCGCGTATTGTATAAAACATTTGATGAGGCTTGCCGCGAGTAGGTCTGGCTCGGGCAGCACGCTTGCGGCACTCTCCCCGTCCAGACTTCGAGCGAAGTAGACGTACCTACGCAACAGCAATTATACTCGAGCAAGCAGTATAACGCAGCAAAGTCTTTTTTTGGGTTAAAGATGTGCCCAAGCAGCAGCAACACCGCAGAGATTTACTACTCCACGCTGGATTTGTAAATTTTAGTATCTTTTATCTTTTAAAGGCCTAAGCAATATAGGCAGCATTCAAATAGATAGGAACTGCACGAACGGCTAGCTAATCGTCGTGTCGAGGCAGTGATTTTGTTAAAGCGTTGTCAATTTTATCTTCACGATCGACTCGCTATTCGTCGTATCGGCAGACAAATTTAAAGCGTAGACAGCTCGCTTTGTAAAGCTGATCTAGTCTGAATTTTGAATATTCTTTGATAGCGTCGCGATTTTCCATTATCTAACAAATTATTGTTAATCTCTTTCTCTTTGGTAAATATATTTGTTGGTTGTTTAAAGTAAAACCATTTTGTAAATCCTTTCACTACCCCTCGCAGAAGCTCGAATTTATTCCAGAAAATTAGACAACAAATTTCCACTTTCTTTAATTCGGCAGCAGTCCAAATTTGCCCTGGGTTTTTCCATTCGAGGCTTTCGAAGCTTCTCGAGCCTCGAGAAAATCCCAGCATGTATACACAAATATACAGCTTAAAACAGTAAGTTCATTAAAAAACAGTTCGCTTATCCCATCAGAATTTGATGAAGGGGGAAAGAATAATTCATATTAAGTTTATTATTAAATGTGGAAAGAGAATGGGATCAAAAACTGCTCTTTATACTATCATGAAAGGAGTATCAGGATCTGAAAATGTTATAAAAATTGGAGATACATGCAAACAGTTCCTTGTTGTTTCTCGTATTCCGATTAAAAACTATCTGATACTGTTCAAATTTATTTTATTAACCTCGATACATTGCGATAGTGCATCTCTCCCTACGCGTGCTTCAGGGGCCTGCATAAGAACGAGCAATCTATGTTTTTTATACGACGATACCTAATAACATAAGTATTGTATTAGTGCTTTGTCACGAAGCACATGAGAATACGAGCAGTATTAACTTTATATATATAGGGCACTGCATTGCAAGAACGGCGAAACATGTAGTTATGTCCACGCTACTTAATTTTAAAATTTACGAAAGTCAATGTTGTTACACCTTTATTTTTGTTAAGAATTTGCCTTAGAATTAATTTTTAGAATACCTTTTAACGAACTCCTTTTGTAAAAAACAAGATATGATTTTGAAGAGAACTTACTATGGAAAAATAGTTCATACATATGTAAATATGATTAAGTACGCAAGGTAGTTGAAAAGTTTTTCGAGACACCTAAAACAATTGATTTATTATAAGTTATTTAATATTTTACAATCAATAATAAGCTCAATAACTAATCCAAGTTATCATTCCTTCTGGGAATAGGAGGACCGTCACAAGTTCTTGATGGTATTGGAGGTGGTACTGTTACTGTCAATTTTAGTGTAGAAATTTCTGGTAGAGCTGAAGAGAGATGTCTTGATGGTAATGGGGGAGGATTCGATTTACTAGACTTTGATGACTGCGTTTGTCGCAAGCATTTTAGTGGTACATTAGAAACATAATTAGTTGAATTAATAGTATCTATATTACAGTTAACTGTAGATGTTTCCTGCATTAAACTAATTTTTGATTTCATTTTAACGGGAGGTGGTGGTCTAGAAGGTGGACTTGGTCGCAGAGGTGATGAATCGTTAGATACTTTGCCCTTAAAGGATTGATTAAAAGTACTCGAAATTTCTGATAATTCAGGTACAATATCTCTTGTTACAACTTTTGTTCTCTTTGCACTCTCGTTAGATTTGAAAATACCGATTTCTTTTTCGATGAACGAGACCCAATCTTGTGTCTTTAGTCTTATTTTCAGATTATAATCTAAAATTCTTATTGCTCCTATCTTTACAGCAGCTAATGCTTCTTGACCGTCTTTGAAAGTGACCCATATGTCACCTTCGACGAATCTGATAAGTATTACTTTTCCAATTTTAGAAAGATTTTGCACAAGAGCATTCATAAAATTTTCATCGAAAATATTTTCAGCTCTACTACTGTTTTCATTGTCACTTATTATAACTGTTCCATCTGAAGGTCCTAAATCCTGAACCACGTTTTTGTATGCAATTTCACGCTTTTTTTCATCGATGCAATAAATATTTACATCAATAACAGCAATCACTGGTCTATGATCACTTTGCTTTAACTCACCTCTTAAATAATAAACTAAATTACCAGAAGTCCATTCAATATCACTGTCTAAAAAAATTATAGTATCATAATATGATTCATCATTATTTATGTAAAAATAACTCACCTGTATCATACATCATTTTTCGGCGTTTCCATAAAATTCGGTCTGTCCAGGCAGGTTGTCGACATTTTTCGCTAGTATCATAATCGTTTGAAAAAAGGTCATACTTGTACGTTGGAGGAAAAGTTATTGGACCTTCTAAATATCCTTCAAAAACATTTCCTTGCTGATGCTGAATCTGAAAAGAGAAAGAAATTTAGTAATTACCAACGTTAATTTTTAAGCTTACAACAATTTCTTAAAGATATTTAAATTATTTTTTTTATGTACTAGATTAATAAACAAATAATGTACAAATGTTAAGTGAAAATAATGAGAATACGTTTTTCACAACAGTAAACAAACAGTTAGAATTACCATTTACCAATGTTTTCTAACTTGGAGTTACGAGGCTGCAGCACTGCCATCAATGAAGAACCCAAAATTGAAAAATACATCGTGTACTAACTAACAACTTAAATTCTCGGTTTAAAGGAATTAAATGATTTCATTATTTCTTAGTTTTTTTCTACATAAAAGTTTTTTAGAATTAAAAAATGAATGACTAGACACGTAGTATACTAAAAAAGTATTTTTCTTAAATTGTGATCTTAAAACTTTTTTTAACCTAGTATACTACTATTTACCTAGTATACGAATTTGTTTCTAAAGATCCATGGATCATGGATATACTACTTGCGCTTAATTTTTATCATAGTTTCTAGCCAAAAAAGGCAGATTAACATAACCTTAAAAAAAGATTTAGTCTCTAAAAAAAAATTTTAACTACTTAGAAAAGGCAAGATTTTAAACATTATTTTTTCTTCGCCAAAACTATATCCAACCATCATGGTTTAAAGACATTATTACAGTTGTAGGTACTACCATGAAAAATCGAGAAATACCGTTTTCCCTCCTATTTTGGCGGAAATTGAACCTTCTGACATAAGTATTTTTTTCTCCTTGCAACTAACATTTTAACTGAAAAAGAAGTCTAACGTATGCAGCAAATAATTTTATTTTAGTGGTAATTTTTAGAACAAAATTACCTTTAGAAAAAACTTTTTTTCCGAAAAAAGATAGATAAGATTCACAGGTAGACAATTGATTTGTTTAAACTACAAAACGCTCCTATTCTTAGCCATAGGCATTTCAATTGACTTTATTATTTGCTTCAACTATATTTTCATTTAACCTAAGCATTGGAGATCCTAGACCCACCAATTTTGGTTGTGAGAAAGGACAACCACTACTTTTATTACAAAAAAAGTAGTAGATCATCTGGAATAATGCACCTAATAATAATTAAGGGATGTGCAGTGATTTTATAAAGAGTAATTACATTGGCGACCATGTTACTGAATGTTCAACAAAAAATCCCTGTCTTTGGGTATTTTTTTATATTCGTATTCATATTTTAATTTTTTTCTATTTCTATATTTTTTCCCTTTTTACTTTAATCATTTAGCGACCTCTAATCGTGTTTCATTATACATTGCATCTGATATATCTAAATTTTTAAGCAACATCACTAGAGTACCAATTTTTAATATTAGTTCATAAGGTGGTAATATGATCGTCCGATTAGTCAATTCCATTATAAATTGTATTATCTATATTATACTTAGTTTGAATTTCTTCAGTTAATTTTCTAAGAATTTTGTCACTTGAATAACAGAGGTACTCATTATGCGATGTTAGTATAACACTATTCATGGAAAAATTATTGAAATCAGAAAATTTTTGAGAACACACATGATTTGATTTCTAATTTTTAGGAATATTAAAAGTATTTACTCCTTCTTCCTTAATTTTTAATAACGATATTGAAAATTCTCTATTGTTAGAATGAATATTGATGTTCAGTTTTTAAATGAACTCCATTAAAAAAAAAAAAAAAACTAGTAGTTTGTTTCATTATAACTCTTCCGTTACTTTTTTTTATCACTTGGAGAGTTTTATTTTAATCATTTTGGAATCATTAAAATTTTGTTAAATTTGTTTTATCTGATTTAAATTAAAAACAGCACACTTTATATTATTACGATGTATATGTAAAGAAAATCTAAAAGTTCTATGATTTATGATCTCTTTTGGAAGCAAAATTGATACTATACAAGTCCATGACATAGACAAAACTTTTTTTGCTTTGAGAAATAAAAATAGAAAATTAACATTTCATATAAATAAGTACTTCCCGACCATTCCGGCCGAACTATGAAGAAAATGTTATTTTTGTTATGAATATTATAAATATTTCCTGGAGGATATTTTGTGTTCACAAACAATATTAAGTCTTTTTTCTGGTCATAATTTAGACGTTTAAACATTGAGTTAAATATCTCTTGACTAAAATATATTTTTTTCATCTACATCATTTTTTTATTTTACATTTTTTTTGGTGCAAGTAAATTAAAGCATTTACATAATTTTGTTTCTGATTCTAAAATTTAGTTACCATGTAAAAGAGCTCAATTATTTTTACTATCAGAAAAATCCTCCTTGAAATATCATAATATTCATTTTACATTTAATGACATTAAATGTTTTTTGAAATTAGTAATTAAGAAAAAGTCCTCTTAATTGATATAGAAACACAACTGCAGTTTCTTCTCGAAAAATATCTATTTCTGCATCTTTATCTATTCCTTATCATTGTTATCTTATTCCTTTTGATTTTAACATCTTTGAAGGACGTCAAACCAGTCACTTTATTTCATATGAGTTAAACGAAATCTTTCGTGATCTTTTGGAGATACAATGTTTAATTTATCTATTGCAGTATTTTTAATTGGATTTTTTCTTCTTTTCCAAATTTTTGATTCATTGTGTGAGTTCTCGTATTTACGGCGAGTAAAGGTAGCGGGGCTAACACCAAGAATTCGGACTTACTATTTGCTACCACGAGAAAGTCTGTCTTTGAATCCTCTAAGTATTTGTATCTATTAAATGTAATTTTATGATGGGAATATAATGAAACTAACGCAAGTACTTAATGTAAGACATTAGGTGAAAAATTGTCATTTATTAACAATGAAAATGTCTCACAATCAACAAAATTAAACAAGAAATGTCATATGTAACGTATAAAAACAAATCTAATCTTACAATCATAGTTAATCCATTTTCTTATTCAGGAGAATTATTCCCTTGGTACAAGACTCACCTGCAGAATGACAAGATTTATGAGAATATGGAAGTATAGGACGTTTGTACTTCAAGTAGATGACAATAACACATCCGTATACGATGACAGAGCGTCACAACAACGATAATGTTAATTATCTTTCCAGAAACTTACACCAACTATGCGGCAAAAACAAACTATCGAAAGAAGACTTCGATAACTACAAGTATCGTATTCTACTTTGCACTGAACTGCTCAGCCGTTTTCGCATAAATTTAAATACATAATACGACAGTTAGTTGTATCACGCGTAAGTGAGACGCTTGTAACTAAAATTAAAATTCACTTAACGAATTCACTTCTTCAACATCAAGAATTATAACTCTTATTTTAGGAACAAGTTCTTATGATAAAGATCATCAGGCACCCTATTATCCTCTTTTTAATAATTAATATCTTTTTGAACTCAACCAATCACATCAATTACAAGAAATTCACACTCAGCGCTTAAACTAAATAAAAGAAAAATTAATTTTAATCAGCTTAAGAGCAACAAAACTTTTCGATCACGGGCGTTCTTCGCATCGGTCGAAAAATATGGCCTAAACCGAATTTTCTGGAAAAAACACAGAGGGGAAACGCAGAGAGAACAGTTGATAAGGACGTACGGATGTACTTAAGGCCTAGATTTACGGTGAAAATTAAAATATAATTTTGCGTAATATATTTTAAAAAAGGGAGAAACTCCGTTTGTACCACTCAGCTGGCACTAGGATCATCATACAGTTCGTATATTAGACAACTGAGATTTTACCACCCACTCGCCTTCATCAACTCAACAATAAGTTAAAAAACTTCATACTCGAGATAGGAAAATTACTTACACTCTGCAAAGGTGACGAAACGCGGGTACAAAGAGGATCCAACGCTCCTTAGGTACATCCAATGACTTTGATGTTCTCTCTCGTGATTAAAAACTAAAACTTTCCGCTCGCCTGATCCAACTCATCACCTCGGTACCCCAAGACACTTGAATTTTATATCTTAATCCCCAAAAAGTATTGCGCAACTTTATGGATTCACATTCATTATGGATCTTGCAAAGTCATTATGCTTATTTAATGCAAACCGAGTTGTTCACTGTGTTTTCAAGTTTTTCTTAATACTTTTAATATTATATCATGTAAGTACAAGTTTTTTTTCATTTTTAAGGTGAACAGATAATTTCAGAACTGTCCAAATTTTATCACAAATTCAAAATTCTTGCAATCTCCAAGCTGTTTTATTTAATCTACGTATCAAGCATCAACGTTACAAGATCAACTGAGTTATCGCTTGTATTTTGTCGAAACACTTTAAATCAAAAAGTTATTAATAACTTTTTGATCAACACTACTACTGATTTTATCAAATATGTTTTTGTCTTGGTCCTTTTTTTGGAAATATTGGATGCGCTATCAACAGTTTCATTAGATCAACTTTAATAACATTTAATTCTTTAAAACTTCTTTAAAATTCTATCTCAAATAATTTAGAAGGCTATATTTAATAATTATGTAAGAATAAATGAAAAATTATTATGTGAACCATCCCCCATACAAAAATGGATTGAAATTTATTTTATTCGGTTTATAAGACAATCTGCATAAAAAATGTTGTAACATAGTTTTTCGATGTAATTTAAAAAGATTTTCAAATAACCAGTACTCCATCTTACATCTTTTAAGAAAACCATGGAAACACCATAGAATCGATAAAATTAGACGGTTAAATAAAAAATGTTTATTAGGAATGATAGGATAATTTTTTTGGGTATACTCAAAAATCGAAACATCCTAGAGGTCCAGAGTTTGAAAAAAACAATAGCACTGCATTCTGCAGTGAATGGTTTATTGTACATATGTTTTTGCTGGCCGAATTTTCTCAAAATCATTTTATAATTTGATAGTTTTTCTATACTTTGCGATTTGATGTAAATTTTTGTTAGTGAACTGTCTCTTATAATTTTTGTCAAAGTTTTAATATGATCTTTAAGAAAATTACTACTGTTTACACATTTTAACCCTAGATCA